GGCCGCCAGCTCCTCAAGACCAGCCATTTCCTCCTGGACAACTGAAAGACGATTGTACTTCTTTTCCAACTTGGACTCGAGGCGTTTGATCCGAACAGAGGTGGGGGTCTTCTTCGCACGCTCCTCCTGGACTTCGTCCAACACCGACCTGAGTTTGGCCTTCGACTCTTCAGGCAATGCGCATTTCTTGCCTGCGAGGTGGGATAGAAGGCCGAGCGCCTTCCCTTTGCCTTTCCCTTCTGGAGGGCCGCCGTTGGGGGAAGAGCCGACGTTGCCGTAGCCTTTGCCGTAAGATTGCCAACCTGGGACACCTCCTGGGGCTCCTTGACCTTTACCGCCTCCTCCTGAGGGCCTCTTTCCGCCTTTTCCTCCTTTGCCACCTTTGCCACCCGTGCCTCCTCCCTTCCTGTCTCCGCTCTTTCCTCCGCTGTCCTTGCCGTACGACCCCCACCCCTTGCCCCAGAACTTCGACTGCTGATGCTGCTGGGAGGAGACCGAGAAGTCGAAGGGCGGGGACGAGCGATTAGAGCGATCCCAGACGCCTGAAGGCCGTGGGTAGACAGAGATACTTGGACCAGATAAGAGAGAATGCCCACAGTGGTAGCAAGAATGGTAATACCAAGGATTCTTCTTGCAGCCGCAGTTCGTGCAGACGAGACTCGTGGTGTCCGCATGCGACATGGCTTGATGCTCCGAGGAGCGCACACAAGGCCGGGCACTGAAGCCGGACCGATCGTTAAAAGCTGCTTGGGGTCGCGAACCCCAGGCCAGTGAGTCTCAAGGTTTTTCTCTTTGTTTTTTCCCACACGCCTCAACTGCTCGAGCGAGGTTGGAAGTTCAGGAGAAGGCCCCTTGAGCCAAAATGGCTACGGATTCCTCCTCCTCCTCCTCCTCCTCCTCCTCCTCTCCCTCCCCCCTCCTCCCCCTCCTCCTCCCCCTCCTCCTCCTCCTTCTCCTCCTCCTCCACCTCCTCCTCCTCCTCCTCTCCCTCCCCCCTCCTCCCCCTCCTCCTCCTCCCCCTCCTCCTCCTTCGGGGGCAGGGCGGGTGGAAGAAGAGGGGTAGCGAGAGACGGAGCTTGCGCATGTCCGCGTCTCAGCGTTGAGCTTGTGCGGCCCATGCAGTGAGAGGGATGCTTCCTTCGCCTGTGTTTGGGGGCGCCCTTTCATGGTCCAGGTGCACTCCCTTCGTAGATGTACCGCTGTGCGTTATCCCAATGTATAAACGTATGATCAGAGGCGAACGCATTGGAGCACCACAAGGATACGAACTGGTGCTTGGTGGAGGCTGCACAAGGACACTAGTATGATCAGCAGCTCTCCATGTCTATCAGATTCGCTACACAAGCCGTGCATTCATGCCAAAATGGGTCGACAGATCATACGATTCCAACCTAAGTCGGCAATCACATACTTCGACTATCTTCGATGCGTTCACGTTACCAGACAACTTGAAGCTGGGATCAGTCCGAGCACCCCCCCGAGATGGCCACCTCGATCACCCCTCAGAGACTCTTGGAGTCCTCTTGCAGTCATCCTGGGGGGGGGCCCTCCCGGGAGCCCTCCGAAAAGCTGCCGCCGTCCCGGTGACCCGCGCGCGCGCTCGGGGGGGGGGGGGGGGGGGGGGCAACGCGCGCGCGCGCGTGCACGCATGCGCGTGAGAGCGCAGCTGCGTGGGCAGGGGCAGGAGGAGGTGGAGGAGGAGGAGGAGGAGGAGGAGGAGGAGATGGAGGAGGAGGAGGAGGAGGAGGAGGAGGCGAGGGGGTTCTTCCCCTCTTCTCCTGGTGCCCTCAGGAGGAGGGAGCAGGAGCCGTGAGCCTCTTCTGTGCCTCCCAGGGCCCTTCACGGGCCTCCTCCTCCTCCTTTTCCTTCTCCTTTTCCTCTTTCTCCTCCTCCTCCTCCTTTTCCTCCTCCATGGGGTGGGCATGTCCCTCTACAGGAGGAAGAGTCGAGATTAGTCGAAGAATAGTCTGGGGACGACTTCTCGATGACTTCTGGTCTTTTGTTTGGCTCTTGTTCGACGCTTCTCCAACTCTCTTCCAGACTCCGTCTGCAGGAGGACATGCGGGGCCCGACCTCATCCAGGGGACGAAGATGCTTGCCTGGCCAAGGGGGCGAAGAGCTGGCGCGCCAGCGAGCGCAGCGCGCACCGCGTGACACGCCCGCGCACCACGACGGCCGAAGAACAACTTGCCATCCCGCCTCGGGCCCTGGCGGTGAGCGAGGGAGCGGAGAGCGGCCGCAGGGCGAAGGAATCTCCGAGTCCCCGAGGGGGGAAGAGCGCGGCCTGTGAGAATCTTCCACCCCTGAACCCAGACCCCCTCGAGTTGTGAAAAAATCACGACGGGAGGTTTTTCATTATTTTTGGCCTCTGGGGGCCCTTACCGGCCCTCGGGACCGTTAAAAAACGACCCAGGACGAAGAACCGGTCCCGGGGAAAGGGTCCAGACCGCTGGGGGTCGACGTCATGAAAAATTCATGACGTCGGGGGTCTGGGAACCAAGGCTTGGGGGTGATGAAGAGCTGGCCCTGGGGGAAGGCCCAGGGGTCCAGGACCTTGTTCCGTCTCCCTCGGGACCCGTCTGCCCATTGCCGATCGCGACCGCCTCGTGTGCAGACGCGCTGGCGTTCCCGTTCGCGCGGCGGCGTGCCCAATGTTCGGCTCACCCCTTCAGCGGCCAATGTTCAGACATCTTGCTGCCGCGTATCTTGCGTGGCGTCTTTGGGAGCATCTGTGGGGTTCTTCCTGGAGGCAATCCGCGAAATAGGGGGATCTTCAACTAGCCAACTCCATTCGAAGATCGAGAAATCATACTTTGGAGCCTTGGGGGTGGCCTCGTGGAGCCTGTGTGGAGCCGTCCTGGGGTGCTCGTTGAGGCCTGTTGGGCAGTTGTTGGGCTACTTTGGAGCTCCTCTTTGGGCTCCCCTTTGGGCTTTGCATCCAGCGCATCCGAAGCGAAGTGGCGAAATATACGTAGATGATGTTGGGATGTTCTGTGGTCAGAGCCCACTCATCTTGGGGCTGCATAGTGGCCTCTTGCAGCGATGATGGAGGAGACCATCTTGCGCCATCTCGAAGGCATCCTCTGGTCATCTCAAGCATATTGGTGCCCTCTCAGACAGTCTTGGACGCACGAACCGCCAGCGACTCCCTGGTGGTCACATCCCAGAGGAGACCTCCTCGGATCGGCGCCCGCGGTCGACGGGTCATGTTGGCCCGAGATGGCTTCTAGCATGGCTCCCAGGGGCCCCGAGCCCAAAAGTACCCCAATGGGCCCTACGAAGGCCCACAAGAGCACCCGATGAAAGCCACAAAACGGCTCCAAGAGGCCCCCCCAAGGCTTCAAATCCGAGGCAATACCCAACAGAGATTTGTATACACCCCAAGACAGCTTGGAAGGGCCCCAAGGGCTCAAAGAGTCACCAGAAGGGCACTAACAGGTCCTCATCACGACCATCCCAAACGAGCGGACTCCAAAAGAATTTCAAAAGACCCTCTGACTGAAATCCAAGGCCTCCCCTTTGCTGTTGTCCAGGGGAGGCCACCTCGATGAACTGCCAGCCCCCGTCAGACCGCAGAGCGGAGAAGTATTGAGATTCGGGCCAGCAGATTGTTGCAATAGGGGAGATCACCCGACACTCCCCCCGATTGAAGCAGACTGGCCCCTCTGGTGACCCGGCACGGGGAGGAGGCAAATCCTCCCCCAGAGGGGAAGACGTGGCAGCTTGGGAGGAGCTCGTATACTAAACCACCCACGTCCCAGGGGCGAGTAGGATTCCAAATGTGCCTGTCTGTCAGGCTGCACTGAAGCAGAACAGCACTACCCACCAGTAGCCTCGGTGCGTAGACCCCAGTTGGTCGAAGGTCAAACGAAGGAGAGACGCGTGAAAGCGGATGGGGAGAGTCGGAATCGTACGGCGTGTGTGAGCGAAGTGGACAGCATGGATCCAATCGGCAGCCCGTGTGAATGCAAGAGGAGGCGTGTCGAGGCAGGTGCAACATTGTGGAAGTGCGCGGAACGGAAGCAAGCGACAGCTGGGGAAAGCACGCTGGAGCACGCGGGAGCAAACGGCTACGGGTTGGGCATGGGACCGAGCTGGGGAGAGTCAGGCGCAGAGACAGGCCACGAAAATCAGCGATGGGCCAAGCCAAGGACGATCCGGGGACAGTCGTGGACAGGGCCCGTCGAGGAATGTGGCGCTGATCAGGGACATTGCTTTGGAGCACGATTCAGAAACTAAGGCAGTGCAAGCGTCGTTTAGGGCACGAGCGAATGAGGTTGGTTGCAAGCAGCTTGCGACATCTCAGGTCGATCTGGCATTGATTATCATGAGCGTTCATACTACACATATTTGAATGGCTGGAAGCGTCAGGGGGGATGTCCTGAATGGCAGTTTTGTGCCGTGTTGATTCCGAGCGCAGTGAAGTTGTACGTGTTTGGTACAATAAGTGTGTGCACAGCAAGTGCGGGTACCCGGAAAGGAAATAAAAGTGATTCAGCCTGAGTGGCAGTAGGTTCTGAACATGATTAAAGTCAGAATATTAAACATGCCACAATGATAAACAAATGGCGTCGTTGGGAACATCAAGTCAGAGCACACCGGGGTTGACCATCTTCAGCGTTGGCCAATTACATGTTTTATGCGATGTTTGACTTGCAAAGGGTATATCTGATTTCTGAGCACGCATGTCGAATTCGCTCAAGTGCAGATTTGACCAAGTTTGAAGCCTGATGGCGCCCCAGCTGCAAACTTCTACTCGAGGAATCGCTATGTTATGTTTCACGCCCGAGCGGCAGCTTGAGCCGGCAGAACGGTGCGCCCCTCGTATCCACGAGTTGCTTTTTTTTGCGCGTATCCAGAATGTAATGTGCGAATTCGCTGTGAAAGCCAAGGCATGGCTTGTTTTATGCGGCTACTGTCGGGGGCGGTGCACAGGATGTGCGACAACAAGGTAGGGATCATGTGGGAGATGTGGGATACGTTGCTGGGAGCGCGCGAAGTGCCATGCCTCCAACGCTCAGGCACTTACGCGAACCCAGGCTCCCCCAGCACGGCCGCGCCGTACAGTCCAGGCGCCACCCCCGCTCCCTTTTCCTGGGCCAGGACTCCTAGCGCCTTCTGTTCAGCTCCTCGCTTTCCATCCTGTCTCGTATCTGTTGTTTCCCGTCGTTGTCCGTCCTCGCCATCCCTCCCCCTCCTCGCGTAGTAGCCCACGTCCCATTTCTCCCATTATCATATCCTCCTCCATCCTTCACACTTCCCTTTCGTTCATCCTTCCTCCTGCCGTCTCCCTCCCTCTTCCTCCCTGCCTTATGTACCCTCTCTCCTCCCCCATCCCATTCCTGTGTCCTCAGTCCTCTTCCCTCACACCTCTCCCCAACTTCCCTACCACCTCAAAGGTTCCCCCGTCCCCTCACCCACTATCTACGTTCCTTTCTCCCTCCTCTCTTCTTCTCCTCATCTTCCTCCGCATCCGTCTGTCTTGCCCCCCCCCCCCCCCGCGTTTCCTACCACCCCCCCCCCTCCTCTCCCGCCCGCCGATGGCCCTTCGTCATCGTGTTTCGGCTGCTCCGCCTTCTCTCCCTTCGTCCTCCCCATCCCCTCGCTGCCGCTGCTCCTCGCCCTCCCCCCCCACCTCCGCTCTTGCTCGTACCTTCCCTTCCTCCGTCCGCCCTCCTCCCTCCCCCGCCCCCCGTCCTACAAAAGCGCGCTCGCCATGTGGCGGCCGCCGCCCAGGCAGCTTCTCGCCGTACGCCGGCGGCTCGCCGCAGTCGAGGTCGATATGACGTTGGCCGCTGGCGCTGCGCCCCCTTCGGGCCGCACATCGGGGGAGGACGCACGAGCCTCTGCGCAGCGGAGGAGGGGGAAGGAAGGCGAGGAAGAAGCTAGGTGAGGAAGTGGAGGGTGTGGCGAATCGATCTCCCCCGCTCCTGTTCCTTCTCCACCCATCCCCCTCCCCTCCCCTCCCCCGCCTCCCTCTCCCCCTCCTCGCCATCAGTATCATCATCATCACCATCGCCATCATCATCATGACCATATGGCATCAACCTGAACCTCCACTACTGTTCCGATCCGAAAGTTTCCCAATTTCGCCACCGTGCTCGCCGCGGCCGTCTGGGGTGGCGCGCGCGGGATAAGACTCGCGGGGCCCGAGGGTGCATGGGGGCGATGTCGCGAGGGCAGAGTCGGCGAGCCGATGGGCAGCCCAGCACCCGGTTTGGCCGGAGGGGCCCAGTACAATGCAAGGGCAGAGCCTAACCCCCGCCTGGGGTCGCGGGATCGGGCCCCCCTTCCCAATTAAAAATTTTAAAGCCCAAACGGTGTACTGACCCGAAAATGAGCAAACGGCATAGGATGTCCTCGAAAAAGGCTTTCGGGTTCGGTCATACGACGACTCGAAAAGTTTACCGGCCGACCTGAAAGTGGCCAAATCCCATAGGACTTGTGCCAAGACAAATTCCGGGTCCGGTTCGAACGACCCGAAACTGTCCAAATCGCTTAGGACCCCTTGCAAAAAAGCATCGTTCTCGAGGTCTTCGGGCCCACTGCGAAGAAACCGAACATGTGCAAACCGCTAAGAACCTCCTGTCAAAAACGGTTTCTCGGCGGTTCTGGGCCTCGTCCAAAGAAGCCGCCGGTGGGCAGACCGCTCAGGACTTCCTGCGCAAGAAATGGTTTCCCCGGTGAGCCATTGTCAACGGGAACGCGCCCCGCGCGGGATCGGGGTTCGCACGGGGGCGCGGCTGCTCTCGCCTGTCCAGGGGGCATGCATTGCCGCGCCCTTCCAGCATAGCGTTTGCGCTGCATTCGCGCGGCGGCGTGCCATTCAAATCGGAAGAAATTTTCGGAGCGCCGATGTATGGTCATGACTGCACCCCGTCTCGAGGCCATGAGTCTCACACCCACTCGCGGTCATGACCCGCTGTTTGCCCAGCTCAACTTCGGGGCGCCCAGTTTCCTATATCGACGCCCTCCTACCAGTTTCTGCTTTTTGGATATGCCCATGCGCCGCGTTTCTCCGCGTACCTGTTCTTTTCCGCTGGCGTTGCTTCCCTTGTCTGGGCGATTCCGTCTCGACCACCTTTCCTTCCTCATGTTATCTCACGTTTCTACCTCTCCATCGTTCCACAGGTGCCTGAAGGTACACAAACGAGCGAAGCGAAGCGAGCCTCCAAGTCTTGTGTGTATACGACACCTGAGAGGAGGAGGAGGAGGAGAAGGAGGAGGAGAAGGAAGAGGAGGAGGAGGAGGAGGAGGAGGAGGAGGAGGAGGAGGAGGGGTGGGATGATGAGGAGGAGGGAGAGGGAGTCGTTGAATCCCGATCGCAGTAGAATGCATGATATGTGGGACCGAGTGAGTTTCAACTCCGCGCGCTGAAAAAGCACAGGTGGCTGCTAGGACCACGCCAGGATCTGTTCTTTTCCCCAGAAAGGGGATATCAGGCAGAGGAGAGGAGAAGGCGGCGCGGGGGAGCACAGAGGTCCAAGCGGTGTCGTAGAATGCGTCGCTCGCCATGTCTGTGTGAGCGTTCTTTCATCCTTACGCCGCAGCGCTCGTCACCTAGACCAAACCCCTCTTCGCCCCCCCCCAGGTAACACTAACGATCGTATTGGGGGGGTGTCATGGACACCCCCCCATACATGTTGTGGAGCACACAGGCGGTTGATGCGCCGGTGGCGCGGACGCACCCTGGCGGGTGCACGCCGCGGCCGCCGTTACTGTTACCCTCCCGCCCGAGAGCCCCCCCCCCCCGGGTAACGACCGTTGCCCGGGAAAGAGCAGAAAGGGTAGTTTGGGACTGTCGTTCCAGGTTTTCTTTGTGTCCCTTGGACTCCCGCCAGGGAACGGATGCCCGGAAGGAAACAGTTCCGAACCCAAGAGCCCCATGTGTGCATTTAGGGCAGGGCGGCATGGGCCACATTCGTTCTCTTTTGGTGACCTTCTACCAAGACGAGATCCGGCGGCGAGCGAGGGGGAAATGAGAAGGAGGAGGCTTTCTCAGAAGGCGGCGGGACTTCTCAGAGGTCCTCGCGCCTTCTGAACAGTTTTCTGCGGCTTCGGGGAAGGCTTAGAAAACTTGTCCGAAGGCCGGTGGACTTACGAACCTTCTGAGAAGGCCTACTCTTTCTCACTTCCCTCCCTCGATCGTCGCCGAGAGATGCGTGATTGGACCTCTCTGCTGCACCGTGAGGCATCTTTCTCCGGACTCCGTTTCCTGCTGGATTTCCTTATGTTGTTCCCCGGGGCCTCCCTCCGCAAAGAAGAGTCGACGACACGTAAGAGTGACGTTTCGCTGGAGCGACCTTCGTGCGGGCCCAATGGGGTCCCCCGATCGTCGAACACGAGGCGGCAGTGGCGTCCTGCGCGCTTGTGTGTATTCCCCCGCGGCCCCCAAAAAGCCGCTCACCAAAGGTCACTCTTACCCAGAGTCACTCTTGCCTCGAGCCGAAGGAGGACCCCGACTTCCGGATCCGCCGTACGTTTTGGCAGATTGACCGACGGAAGGTTGTGTCGGAAAGGTACCCCAAGACGATGCGAAAAAGTAAGGCAGAAATTCCAGCCTCAGAAAAGTAGGGCGGAGATTGCCCCAAAAGTGTGGCGGAAACAGCGACGGCAAAGTAGGGCGTTTTTCGGCATCCAAGGAGCATGTAAGAGATGACGGGGACTTCAGCCTCATTCGCGATGCCGCCCAAAAAAGTGCGGCGGGTCCGAAGTCAGGGAAGGAGGACAATGCGAGGAGGAGGGTCCTGCTCCTGCAGTCCTGGCGTGGATCCCACCAGCCCCCGGGAGCAGCCGTGGCACCGAGCACTTTTTGCCCCGAGCGCGGCTCGCCGGGCAGCTCTGTCCCCCCCCCCTGTGTCAACGATGGCCCGTGCTCGGTTTGCACCAGCCCTACGCGGCGGCTCTCGCGAACCTGACGGGCCCGAAAAGAGACCGCTCGCGTCTCCGGGTCGAGGAGGCGAGGAAGGCGGACAAGCAGGTAGGAAGCGAAGGAGTATAGCGCGTTGTCGATGCCCTCCTGGGAAGGCACGATCCCAGTGAGTCGGGTGTGGCACATTGGCTCTCCCATCCTTTGAGGCGGTGTTCGGGAAGGTTGGTAGGGTAAATCGTCTGGTCACGGAACCTGCTGCAAGGACCGTTGTTGGCAATGGGGTTTTCTGAAGTTTGGGTGAAGCCATCTGTTGCACCAAACGGATGGGTAAGCCGAAAACAACAAATCGATGGATTGATTCATCCGTCTGTGTGCATAGTTTCTGTGGGGCGGCACAGGGGGTGCACACACGAGGAGGGTAGGGAGGAGGACGGAGGAAGAGAAGGGTACGCAGGAGGAGGAAGAGAAGGGTCAGGAATATGGGCAGGAGGAGGAGGAGGAGGAAAATGGTAAGGAGGGTAAGGAGCAGAGAAGGATAAGGAGGACAAGGCTAAGGAGAAGCAGGAGGAGGATGAGGGTGGAGGCGGGGGAGGCGGGGAGGCACGCAGAGTGGCCCCACGGAGGGGCACACGGACACGCTCCCACTGCCGGAGGGGCACACGGACACGCTCCCACTGCAGGGAGCTGTTTTTTTGCTGTTCTCTTCACTTGCGATTGCGCATCCTGGGACCTCGGTTGGTGTGCCTCCTGGGGCCTCCTGCGCCTCGCGCAGTAGGCACGTCGAATAAGACATTGGCCTGCCAACGGGAGTCCCACGATAAGGTCTTGTCTCCCGATGGGCCCCGAGTGCCCTGGGGCACCGTACGAAGCTCGGAGTCAGCTAAAGATGTGCCTTTGGGCTTCTGTATGGAAATATTCATTGGCTTGCGCCGCACCGCAGACCCCGTTGGAAACCCTGGACGTCTCGCTTCCAGGGGGCGTTGTCGTAGCAGCGTCTTGGCGCCGAGCGTACATCTGGGAAGCCCAACACCGTGTTCGCAAGGGTCCCTGTTGGAGCGGTTTGGGGCCTCTTGGTAATTCCTTGGGGGCCTCCTGGGGGCCGTTTATTGGGGCAGCCCTCCTCCAAACCAGCCGGACTGGACTCCCGGAGGAGGTTTTTGGGCGAGGCAACCATCCCACACGCCAAGGAAACCTCAAGGGGTCATCGATTGTCTAATCGTACCGTATGTGCCTTCTATATATTTTCTTAGGCTGGCCTCTTGAGCCATCCTGGGGGTTGCTTGGGCTCTCTGGGCTGTCACAAGGCCCTCTTGGTGGGGACAAGTCGCCGCTCTCGCCAAGAGCTTCGAACGTTTCTGATTCGCACAGCACCATACCTCAAGGTGGCCGAATCCAGATATTTTGTTAACCCTCAATTGTCACATCCAGCTGGCCGTGCGGCCCGCTACTGCGCCGAAAGAAAGGAAGAGGAAGACTCAAAGGGGAAGGGTTCCCCCTGTTCTAGATCCCAGCATGACTCGATTTGGGGTGGGCTATCAAGCCTGGGGAGGAGGGGCCAATGTGGCAACGGAGAGGGGGAAAACAATTTTTATCTTTCGCACACTTCAACATCACTGGCGGACGTGACACTCGTAAGCCGACATGGGTCGACGGGAGGTGGAGGAGAAGGAGGAGGAGGAGAAGGAGGAGGAGGAGGGATCGGGTGAGATGGCCTACAAAGGTAGGTGGCCCCGAACGGACGAGGAGATGGATGGCAGACTTCTTGGGATATACATGACTCAAGTCAAGGGTTCACAGCCCCCCGCCCCCCGAGGTGGGATGCGTCCCAGGGTTCACAGCCCCCACCCCCAACCCCAGATGGGATGAGGGGGGGCGACGACGACGCCGACGACGCCGACGCCGACGCCGACGACGACGACGACAACGACGACGCCGACGACGCCGACGGAAAACGACGACGACGGCGACGCAGACCGACGCGGACGCCAACGCCGACGAAGACGCCGACTCCGACGACGACGACGACGACGACGCCGACGCCGACGCCGACGACGACGACGACGAAGAAGACGACGACGACGACGACGACGCAGTCGCCGACGTCAACGCCGACTCCGACGCGACGCCAACGCCGACGCCGATGCCGACGACGACGACGGCGATGACGCCGACGACGACGAAGACGCCGACCCCGACGCCGACGCCGACGCCGATGCCGATTGATGATGACGACGACGCCGACTCCGACGCCGACGCCCACGACGATGCCGACGCCGACGCCAACTGAGGGTGACGACGATGACTGAAGACGACGACGACGACGACGACGAACCATCCCACACCCACAAGGCGGGGGGAGCACCTGTGCTCTCCACCACGCCACGGCCACAAGGCCACGACCTCTGGGTAGGAGGAGGGCGATCCCGCTCGCGAGGCCTTCGCGAGGCTCGGGCGTACCCATCCTGCGGGGTTTAGGGCTCGATCCCATATGCATTGGGGGGCGGGATGCAACCCTGGGGGTCGAAGTGGATGGGTTCGAAGCCGATGCATCGACGATGCGGCTTGATGCGGAGGCAGATTTTCTCTACGTCGACGTCGCCGATCCATCGCCGACGTCGCCACTGCATCGCCGATGCATCGTCGAAGCATCGGTGATGCATCGGCGACGCGGTGCAATCCTCTGGCCCCATCTACTCGGGCCCATCTAGGAGGCCCCTAACATAGGCCACGCGACATGCGTTTGATTTGAGCAACGGGCTTACAGGCCGTAACAGCAGCCAGATTGGCGAGTCCACGCACATGATATCGAGAAGCCAAAGAGAGTCCAGTGCGACTGCTCACGAGCCGTACGTGCGAAGCTTGGCGTCGTGCCAGCGAAAGTCGTGCTGGATGTTACGAGCAAGCGTTACCGCCCATGTGCCGCAACCAGCGGGCGCACCGCATCTCCATTGCGAGACCATGGCACCACTGTTCATGCGTAGGGCTCCTCTTGGTTGGTGTGTCCACAACCCGTGTGCCCAACGTTGTGTAAATGGGTATTGCTACCCAGAGTTCAACCACGGCTGTGGAGTTTGTAGTTCTACCATGGAGAGTTGTGATCGCATATGTGGGTGGGTTTTGTTTTTTTCACCAGCTGGTAACGTACGGAGAGTTACGGCCCTACTTCTACGTACTTGCTCGGGCACCTTGAGGGTGCCAAGCACACTCGGAAATCCCCATCGGCCTCGGAGGTGCGTGGACCGCTCGCACTGCAAGTGGGCAGCAGATGCTCCAAGCAGAGCCCGCACCGAGGGGTCCCGAGTCGCTTGGCCTCCAGTGATTGGCGAGGGGGTCCGCGTCGTGGGCGCCTCGTGGGCGCCTCGTGGGCACCCCGTGGGCGCCTCGTGCGCCGGCACGGGCCTCGGGCTGTTCGCACGGCGGGCGCCTCGTGGGCGCCTCGTGCGCCGCCAATGGGCTGGCAGAGGTTCGCGCCGTGGGCGCCCGTGGGCGGCCTTTCTGGGCGCGTCTTGGGCGCCTCCTGCGCCCTCGGCGGCGCCCCGTGCGATGGCCGAACCAAATAGCTTCCACCATCTACACTGATTGCAGCACGTGCGGGCCGGTGCTGAGCAAGATATCATGCCGAACCTCCACAGCTGGGACTTCGTCAGCAAGATCGGCCAGGTGTTTCGGGAGCAGGCGTGGCTTTGCGACCAGAGTGCCCGACCTCATCCCGAATGATCCACGCTGGATTTGCACATGAGAGTTATTTGAGACGTGTCTGTCATGAGTTCCTTGAAACTGACAGTGAAACCACATGTATTGCGCCAGAGAACTTACACCGAATTGCGCTGCACAACATACACCACGCACATAGTTTGTCCCACATCGATTGCATAAGATATGTCCCACCAACAATTGCACGACTATATTGAACCGCGAACCTCCAGTGCATGGCTTGCACATCCAGCGTTTACAATTCACTGATTGGGATCCACGCTGGCAAACATATTTGATTTGACATGTATAAGGTTCACACGTGTTGTCGCTTCTGTGTTGGGACGCGTGGGGAGACATGGAGAAAGTTGCCGTTCTGGTCATCGTGGTTTACAGCATGTACACCCTCAGACGTGTCCACCTTTGGTCACTTTCCGCCAATGAGTAGCTGGCATTGCACTCACGCTTGTGAACGATCTCCGCCAGTTTCTCAACACGGTGCATGACCGTTACCACGATACCCGAATCGTTTTCCAGCATTCCACGAGAGGCTCTCGCTTTCCATGACCACTTGCTTCTTGTCGGACAAAGCGCAGCCATGGCCCCCGTCGTCGCGTCCGTCTCTGGTTTCCCTTGGCACAGGGAGGAGCAGGGCTCTCTCTCTCTCTCTCTCCTCCGTGTGCTCCGCCTCTCTTCGCGCCGCGACTGCTCCTCATCGTTCTCTTCCTTCTCCTCCTCGGCCTTATCGCCCTCGTCCTCGCCTCGCCGCCCCTTCCACCTCTCGCCGCAGGTGCGCCGCCCGCGGGCTCGACCACAGCCATCGAATTCGCTGAGATTTTTGCGGGGCCTTTGCTGCCAGCGGCCCCGAGCGACCCCGCGAGGAAGCTCGCGCCTGGACAGGCCCGCTGCCCACCATCCATCCCGGCCGTGCGCGTGCGCGCATGTCGGGTGCCCCCAGAGGGCGGGGTTGGGAAATCATCTTGACAATTTCGGTGCTGCGAAGGACGACCCGCAGAGGCTAGGACGCAAGGGTACCCTAAGGACAGCCATGCGTCCTTATTATGAGTTGGACCGTATACCCTCCCGTTCCAGATCCTCCCCTGACAAATCCCCAAAAGACTTCTTGAACACTTCGACAGACGCCCCCTGGAAACACCGGCAGTTTGTGGGCCTGCCATTGGGGCCAGAGCCAAGCTCTGATATTCGACTATTGCACAATCATCGGGCGCTGCGCGCTGCATGGGTGCTCCTGCGGGTGCCTGAGGCCGCTCGTCCGTGGGAGTCGACTGCTGGCCTGTGGAGAGGCCGGAACAAACAAACATCGTGTGGTGAGCCAGTGGGGATGCGGGTCGTTCTTCGAGGATGTTTTGGGTGATTGGGGCATCCGAGGTCCCAAAACCGTGCTGTGACGGACCTTTCGTTATAATTTTCGGTGAGGCCTTGGCGGAGTTCGAGGTCACCGCTGGGTCTGCCACCATACGGCGTTGGGACCCCCAAGTATGGGTTGGATGTTCATTTGGTGGACCTCCGTGGGGCCCACCTAACAGATTTGTTTGATTTGAGTTTGACTCAAGCTCGGCTCAAGTTCGACTCAAGTCGACCGACGTTCGGCGCAGCATCGACGCAAGAGTGGAGCGAGTGGTGTCAAGAAGGTCTTCAGAACGAGTATATACTGTGTGCGTGTGCGTGTGAATCCGTGTCCTCTTCCGCCGCCTCCTCCTCTGTGTGTGCGAATCTCCCGTCGTTGGCGTGAATACTTCCTGCGGCGTCGCCGCGCGCCCGCTCACCGAGGACAAGTGCGCACGCGTGCCCTGTTGTGGGCCTGCGCGCGTGCGTGTGGGAGTGCACGGGTGCATTGGTGCGCTTGTGCGCTTTTGTGCAGGCGTGTGTCTGCGTGTGTGGCTCCTCGCCCCCTGCTTCCCCCCTCCCCTTCCTGCATGGTGGCTGAATTCGCCTGAAGTTGCCGTGCTTCGCTTTACTCGCCAGCGCAGTCCTTCTGCCCAGCCGCCGACGCAAAAAGTGTCTGCGCGTGTCCCCCGCCCGCCCTGTTGCTCTCCCCCTCCCCGGAGTGCAGTGTTGCACTTTCGCGTGGCGCCTTTTCTTGCCTCGTGGACTGCGCACCTCCGCTTGCCGCCTCTCTCCCCCCCCCCCCTTTTCCCCTCCTCGCCTTCCCCCTCCCCTCGCGGCCCACCGCGAGAGTGGCCCGGTCGATCCGCGTGACTTGGCCCGGCCGCGCGCGTTCTCCCGCTGGACTGCCTGTGCCGCGCCGCCGCGCGCGTGGCCGCAACGCCAAACAAAAGGTGCAGTCTGGCAGCAGATCATGGGAGCCTGGGGCGTACCCTGCCAGTTCCGACTCTCGCGTCGATCAGCGTCCGGGAGTCGATGAGCCGGCGTCGACTTGGCGTCGACTTCGCGCCGACTTGGCGTCGACTGGCGTCGACCAGCGTCGATTCGCAGGAGCCGACACGACGGCGTGGGAGGCTCCCGTGAGCTGCCGCCGACGCGTGGGCCCCTGGCGCTGCCCGCGCCCTCCTGCACACGGCCCCTCGCCTGCCCGGCGTTGTCTGTGCCTGGCGGGCCACCCCGCGGGCCACGGCGCCCGCTCCGCGTCTTGCCGCTGGGCCCGGCCTCGCTCGGGCATTGAGCGTGCTTCGGGGGCGGAAAAGAGGGGGGTCATGACTAGGGGGGGGTGGATATCATGGCGGGGGCCATGATGTTTCCTCAGATTTCATGGCGCCTCTTCTTATTTTATGACGTCCCTTGCCCCCCCGCTGGGCCGCGCACATGCCGCCGGTCATGATTTGCACCCCCCCCTCTTGGACACCCCCCTCTTGGCCGCTCCCGAGTGCTGCCTCGGGGAGCACCACCGCTCGATGCTCGTTCTGGGGGACCTTCTCGGGGCACAGCCTGCTGCATCGGTTCGGCGCCAGCTCGACTCCAGTTCGACTCGAGCTGGGCTCTCGGGGTCGACGCGGGTTCGGCTCGGGTTCGAACCGAGTCGGCGGACGCTCGACGCAGCTCCGGCGCACGAGCGGAGCGATTGGCTCCAGAAAGGTCCCCAGAGTGGGCCTCTGCCCATCGGGAGTGGGCCTCTGCCCCTCGAGGAGCACCCTGGCCCATCGAGCAGAAGCACGAACGCGCACGCACGCACGAAACCGAACCGTGTACGGGGCATGTGGGCGTCCGAGCGACGGCCAGTTGGTGCTCTGCTGCTGCTGCTCCGCCCGCTCCCCGCTCCGGCGGGCGGGGCTGGAGCCTGTTTTTTTAGACTCTGGCAAGTTTACTTGCATGGACGGAGGGGGGGCTGAGCCTGAAGCAAGCCCGGGGGGGGGGGGGGGGGCGGAAATCACGCAAGTCGAAAGGCACTTGCACGCTAGTATTCGCTTGAAGAGGGGCGAGGGGGGGGGGGGGGGGCGAACGCCATGCAAGTAAACTTGCCCGAATCCAAAAAAAAAGGATCCTGCTCGGAGGCCCGGCCCGCGCCGCCCTCCCGCGGCCGGCGGCCTCGCGGACCGCGCGCCTGCGGCAGCAGGAGGGCCGAGCATGCTGAGAGCGCCGTGGGCCCGCGGGCGCCGCACGGGCGGGGGGCCGCTGCTCCGCCGCGCCTCGGGGCTCGGAGGGCCTCGGAGGTCCAGAGGAGGAGGAGGAGGAGGAGGAGGAGGAGGAGGAGGAGGAGGAGGAGGGGGAGGGGGAGGGGCTCGGGGTTCGGCCGGAGCGCCAGAGATCCTGCAGGCCCCGGCCGAGCCAGGGGCGCGCTGGCCTCGGGCAAGGGCGCAGGAGCCTGCAGGGTGCTGCAGGAGCCCGCAGCAGGCCTGACCGCCCCGGGTGTGGTTTGCAGCGGCCCGGGTCAGTGTAGGTCCCCGAGCGTCGGAGGAAGGAGTTCGTGTGTGTGTGTGTGCGCAGTGAAAGAGGGGGCGGGGGGAGTTGGGTGTGTGTGGGGGGGGAGGGGCAGGAGGAGGAGGAAGAGAAGGAAAGAGGGAGCGGGGGGAGTTAGGCGTGTGGGGGGGAGGGCAGGAGGAGGAGGAGGAGGAGGAGGAGGAGGAGGGAAAGCAGTGCCAGGGCTCGAGCTGAGCGGCCTTTGGGCGGCTTCGTGGGCCGCCTTCGCTTTGGTTTCGTCCCGCAGCGAAGGCGGAACGAGGGCAGAACGAGAGACAACGATGGCGCAGCGAAAGCGAAGCGCACCGTGCAGCTCGAGCCCTGGAGCGTGAAGGAGGCCGAGAGGGGAGGAGGGATCGGTGGAGGCAGGCGCAGGGGCGGGAGGGAGGGGGACGAGCCGTTTCTGCTCTGCTCTGCCGTCTCTGAAAACGAAGTACCGCAGTTCGTTCGCTCCTCCTCCTCCTCCTCGCTCGCTCCTCCTCCTCCATGCCCCTGTTCGTGGCCCCATCCGAAACCCCCCTTTTCGCCCCCTGCCCTTCCTCGCCGCCTCGTCCCTCCCCTAACCCCCCCCCGCCCCGTGGGGAGGCTGGCCGCGGCTCGATGTGGAGCCCGATGCGGCGCAATCCTCCGACCCCATCTGCTCGGACCCCATTTGGGTGGCCTCTGCGGCCAGCAGCCAGTGAGCAGCGTGTCGGGCCGCCGGTTCTGGCCCACCACGCCTCGGCGCGGCACGCCACCCGCTGCCCGGCCCCCCAGCGCCCCCGCCCCGAGCGGTTCCCGAGCTTCCGCCCCGCGGAGCGGAGCGACACGCCGAACGCTCGCAGGGCACGGCGTGCCGCCAGGGGGCCGCCGCAGCGGCACGCCGCGCAAAAGCTCCCGATCGCAGAGAGGGCCGCCCCCTCTGCCGTCATCCCCCCCCCCCCCCCCGGGGGGGGACGGCCCCACCCCGCGGGAGGAGCGAGGCGTCTTGGGAGGGGCGCGGCTTCGGCCGCGGGCGCTCCCCGCAGAATGCTCCCCCCCCCCCCGCGCAGCCTTCGGAGCAGGCGCCCAGATGGGCGCCGCGCTCCCTGGCACCGCCGCCGCCGCCCGGGGAGGCCCGGCCGCTGCTCCTCCCCTGCTCCTCGCTCCTCGGTGGCGATGGCGATGGCGATGGCGCCCTCGTCGTCCTCCCCCGCTGCTCCCTCCTCGTCCTCCCCCCTCCTGCCCCTCGTCCACCCCATCCTCCAGCGATTCCCCTTCCCCTCGTTGCGTCGTGCGAGGTCTTGCCCCTCCCGCCGTCCTCGTCCCACTCCACCTTCGTTCCACAACACTACCACCATCACCATCACCATCATCATCAACATCATCAGCAGCAGCATCGTCATCATCATCACCACCATCATCATGATCAGCATGACCATCATCATCAGCATCATCAGCAGCAGCAGCAGCATCACCATCACCCTCACCATCACCACCCTCGTCATCGTCGTCGGTGGTGTCGTCGTCGCCGGCAATATGATTAGCGTTGTCATCATCCATCATCAATACCACTATCAGTATCACAGTGAGCAACTTTGTCAGCATCATCATCAGAAGCAGCATCATGGTCATCATCAGCATCATCATCATCACCAATCCACAGCCATTGTGATACAAGCCGCTTCAGCTGATGGGCCTGACTGGGTTGTTTTGTTTGTATGGGTTCAAAGTGACTCCACAGCGTGAGGGCTCCGTCACACGCAACACTCACCAAACCAGTTTCCAAACTAACAATCCTTTTCGTTTCCTGTCTTATTGTTCCCGTGCCCTCTAAGGCAATGTCGGGCTTTCCTGGCTACCAGGGTGAAGTCCAGGCGGTCATGGATCAGCTTCGAATGACAGCCAGAGCTACCAAAAGCTTGACAAGCTGGGGTTGGGCTTGAAAGGCTGAAGAAAGGTAAACACACCCTCGAAGAGCATTAGGAGGGCATCGAGAAGTTCTTCCTCCGCTTGGAGCGCCTCGAGTCGAACGATTGAGGGCAGTGCCGCAAGCGTTGCTGGCGGACCGCCCGCTAAATTTCGTCGCGGTTCGGTTGGGACCCGCTCGAGCAGTCAGCATCCGATCGGTACTTCTTCAGTAGTTGGTGCCAATCGAAAACGTGTGCGGGGGAAAGGTGAGCAGCATCATCCTCAGCATCATCATCATCATCATCATCATCATCATCATCATCGTCATCATCACCACCATCATTATCAGCATCATCATCATCGCCGTCGTCTTCATGATCATCAGGATCATCCGCATCTAGCATCATCAGTATCATCAGCATGATCATCACCAGTATAATCAACATCGTCTGCATCATCATCGTTATCATCGTTATCATCAGCGTCATCCTCAGCGTTGTCAGCAGCATCATCACCAGTAGCATCATCACCATCGTTATGTTCGTCATCGTCACTAGCAGTATCACCACTAACATTGCCAACAGCATCCTTCTCAAAACAATCATCATGATCGTCATCGTCATTGGCATCCTCTCCCCCTGTCCTCTTTCAGCCACCCCTCCTCCGTTCCCTCCTCCTACTGCCCCTCTCCACCTCTCCCCCAATCTCCTGCACCTACCGTGCTTCCCCTCTAGCGTTGAGCTCCTCTGTGTACGTCGTGATGTTGCTGTTGCGGCCCGTGGTCCCGTAGTTGAGTGGTCGATGGCATTGAGTTGCATCAGTCGCATCGCCTCGAACGCTGATGATCGCGTCGACGCGATATTGTCCGCACAGGTCCAGCAGGACAACATGCGCGTCCCAGGGCCGCGGTCGGTCGGGCCGTCCTGAGGACCGCGGCCGCTCCGAAGTCGTGGGCGGCCGCCGATAGGGCCAGGGCTGGTTCCCAGCCACAAGCACGGGCCTCGACAATTTGAACCGCATCCAGAAGGGCCTTGTACCTCACCAGTGCAGTCCCACCACAGACCGTCCCCGTTTTTGCCCATGCGCGAGTGGTCGAGGCCTCGACGAGTGTTTCGGCGCGGAGCGTCGAAGTAGAGCAAGGCCCGCAATCCACCCCGCCTCTCGCGGCGGCCCCTCTGCACCCTCTGCTTGCGCTGCGTGAAAGATTATAATTCAACAAATCGCCCTCCTGCACGTACCTCCCACTCCTCCGCCTTCGCCTTGCACGCCTCACTGCCCCCCTTTCTCTCCACCCTCCATCCCCTTCCTCCTCCGCCTCGCCCTCCTCTTTTTCGTCACCCTCGTCTCCCCCCCCCCGCCCCCTCCCTCTCCTCGCCCGTCTTTCCACGCCTCCTCCCCAAACACAAACAGCCTCCCGCCGCCGTTCCCCTCCGACTCGGCCGCCTGAAGGCCACTGCCAGCTGATGGGGGCCCTCATGCCGCCGTCGCGCCCGCTGCGCCAAGGCCCCCGCCCCTGCACGCGCTGTCGCCATGGAGCACCGGGCAGCCCCAGGGGCCATCGGTAGATCCCGGAAGGCCCTCGGGCGGCGCCCCACAGGGAGTCGGAGCAGAAGAAGGAGGGCGACGATGGGGATGTGGAGGAGGGCGGGGAGGAGGTGAGCAGCAGGAGCGGCATCCGAGGGCACGACCCCCGAGCGCCTCAGAAGGCCACGGAGTGGTGCACGCCCGAGGCGACCATGTGCGGGAGGGGGGCGTGAGAGGGGGCGGCCCTGCTCGCAAGGCGGCGCGGCCCCTCTTACTCGCCTCCCGGGACGAGGAGGAGGAGGAGGAGGAGGAGGAGGAGGAGGAGGAGAAGGAGGAGCACGACGCGGCGACGCCTGCAGGTCTAATACTTTCTGCTTGCGTGAGCATCCCATCATTTGCGGTCCTTCTTCGCACCGCCTTGTCCCGCTTGTTCAGCCGAAGTGATATTGTTGATCTGATTTTCTGTTTTGCCGAGAAGACTGCAAGAGTTGTACAGCTTCTGTCCGGTCAACGCAACAGGTCCACGACGACCACCACCACCACCACCACCGTTGCGCGAAGTCCACCCGCTCGCGCGTCTCCTCCGCCCCCTTCTCCTCCTCCTCCTCCTCCTCCGCCTCCTCCTCCTCCTCCTTCTCCTCCTCCGCCTCCTCCTCCTCCTCCTCCTCCTCCTCCTCCCTACCACGTCACTTCTCACATTCCTCCTGATTGCGCTGCCTGGGTGTCTACGAGAAAATTTAGAATTGTCGCCACTTTCGTGGGCCTCTGGGAGGTCCAGCGGAGTGGTGTACTCCTGAAGATCAGAATCAGAGTTCGCCGTCCCTGGGGGCCTGCGAACTGCGAAACTGTCACCACTTCCGTGGGTACCTGGGAGGTCCAGCGCAGTGGTGTCCCACGCAGATCAGCCTGAGACTTCGCCGTCCCTGCAGCGCTGCGATCTGCGAAACCGTCGCCACTTCCGCGGACTCCTGGGAGGTCCAGCTGAGTGGTGTACCCCCGCAGATCTGAATTTGACCCTGCCATCCCGGGGGGTCGCCTCGAAATCTTTGCCATAACGCACCCCAGGAGAAGTCCGTGGGGTAGCCCGAGATCTTGCAGAAGTCTTCCGGAGGGAGCTGCGCAGTGGCAGTGCGTGGCATTGCCCGCGTACGCCGCCAACGCGTGGCGACCGACAGCCTACATCGCTGAAGAGCTTCCCGCGCCGCCGCGATTAGCCGCGGCCTTGAGGAATTAATTAGGCTCTGCGGGTGGATCATTGCTGGGAGGAGAAGGTGATGCTCTTGTCCTGAGGTCCTTGCTGGGTGCCCCTGCAGCGCCGATGTGCACGCGCTCCCCCCTGAGGGAGGACGGAGAGGGAGGGGGAGGAGCGAGAGGGGGGAGCAGGGAGGAAGAGAGACGAGGAGCGGGATGAGGGGATCCCGTCGAAGATTGGTCTGCTCACACTGTGGTGATTTGAGGTGCGGCACGAAAAGATCAGGAGGGAGGGAGGGAGAGGAGGAGGAGGAGGAGGAGGAGGAGGAGGAGGAGGAGGAGGAGGAGGAGGAGGAGAGGAGGAGGAGGGGGAGGGGAGGTGAGAGGAGGAGGAGGAGGAGGAGGAGGAGGAGGGGAGAGGGAGGAGGAGAGGAGGAGAGGAGGAGGAGGGAGGAGGAGGAGGGAGGGAGGCTGTGGAGAATGGGTGGCCCCGCGGGCACCGCCTTCGTTCCTGCACGCCCGGCGGCCCTCTGGAGCGCCCGTTGCCTCCCGCACCGCTGACCGTGCCGCCCCTGGAGATACGCCCCGCGGAGCGCCCAGGTGCCTCTGCGGTCGAGCTCCGCGTTCCTCGCACTCCTCCTCCTCCTCCTCCTCATCCTCCTTCTCCTTCTCCCTCCTCCTCCTCCTCCTCCCCTCCTCCTCCTCCTCCTCTCTCCTCCCCTCCCTGTTCTCCTCTCTCCGCCTCCTCCTCCTCCTCCTCCTTCTCCTCCTCCTCCTCTCTCATCATCATCATCATTCCCATTCTCTCTTCTCTCCTCCTCCTCCTCCTCCCTTCCTCCTCCTCCTCCTCCTCCTCCTCATCCTCCTCCTCCTCCTCCTCCTCCTCCTCCTCCTCCTCCTCCTCCTCCTCCTCCTCCTCCCCTTCTCTCCCCATGCCTCCAGCCTCACCGCCCCCCTCCCCCCCGCTCCGGCTTCCCCACCCGATCGGCGGAGGCGAAGGTGTTCGTGGCCGTCGGAGCGCCGCGGTCAGGGGCAGCTCACGCCGTGCGCCATCACACCCCGATCCACTCCGACCGCCCTCCTCGCTCTCTCTCTCTCTCTCTCTCTCTTTCGCTCTCTTCTCTCTCTCTGACGCTCCACAGCACGAGGAGAGGTGATCTCTCCTCACTCGGCTCGTGATGCGAACGGCACGCGCGCGAGCCACCACCATGCTGATGTGATGGTTCTCGCGGAGACAAAGTATAGCACGAGGAGGAGTGCGATCGGCGTGGCTCGGCCTCCCGCGGAGGCCGGGCACCCCGTCGGGGGAAACCCGCGCGCCCCGGGGCCCTTGCCTGCCTGCGCCGCAGACACGCACACGCCGACGGGCGCCGACCGCCGCAGAGGCCGCCGGCAGCAGCACCAGCCAGGCGGCCATCGACGGTCGAGCTCCGCGCTCCTCGCACTCCTCCTCCTCCTCCTCCTGCTCCTCCTCCTCCTCCGCCTCCTCCTCCTCCTCCTCCTCCTCCTCCTCATCATCCTTCTCCTCCTCCTCCTCCTTCTTCTCCTCCTCCTCCTCCTCCTCCTCCTCCTCCTCCTCCTCCGCCTCCTCCCTCCGCAAGCACGGGCCGCAGCAGGCCAGCGGCAGCCTCGACGGCCAGGCAGCAATCAGCAGCACCGACAGCCACAGACTTCTTGGCATCCTGCGTAGCTGGGGTCCGAGCAGATGGGGTCGGAGGATCGCGCCGCATCGCCGATGCATCGGCGATGCATCGGCGATGCGGGTCGATGTGGGGCCCAAATTTCTCTACGCCGACGTCGGCGATGCATCGCCGACGTCGGCAGCGCATCGCCAATGCATCGGCGATGCATCGCTGATGCATCGCCGATGCGGCGCGATCCTCCGACCCCATATGCTCGGACTTCATCCAGGAGGCCTCTAAGACTACAGGCGCAGAGCCAGCGGCTCTCCAATCTGGATCTCGCGCGCGGATTTGGAGGAGTTGCCTCTCTGTGGTGAGGCCCTCCTCCTCCTCCTCCTTCTCATCCTCCTCCTCCTCATCCTCCTCCTCCTCCCCCTCCTCCTCCTCCTCTGCCTCCTTCTCCGCCTCCTCCTCCCTCCTCCTCCTCCTCCTCCTCCTCCTCCTCTCCTCCTCTGCCTCCTCCTCCTCCTCCTCCTCCTCCTCCTCCTCCTCCTCCTCCTCCTCCTCCTGACCGCAGCAGGCCAGCGGCAGCGGCCAAGCAGCAACCAGCACCGACCGCCACAGACCACAGGCGCAAAGCCGGCCGCGCTCTCCAATCCGGATCTCGCGCGCGGCTCTGGTGAAGTTGCATATCTTTGGTGATGCCCTCGTGCTCCTCCTCCTTCTCCTCGCCTCTTCACCTCCTCCTCCTCCTTCTCCTATTCCTGCCCTCTTGATCTCCTCCTCCTCCAACTCCTCCTCTTCTGCTTGGCCGCCCCCCCTCCACTCCCCTCCTCACCCTTCTGCTCCCCCCCCCCTCTGCTCCCCCCCTCCCCCTCTTCGTCGACCCGACCTGCGAGGCTGTGCCTCCCGCGCTGGCGCGGGCCGCGTCGCTGCTCCCGAGGAGGGGCAGCGGCCGCGCAGAGGGGGGGGAAAGCACCCGGACCGAGCAACGATTGAGCGAGCCCCAACACGGGGACGAAGAGGACCCCAATAGGCTTCCAAGACGACCCCAGAGGGCCCCGAGCCGTCAAACGATCGATCCAAGACGCAAGAGCTGGCCTCCATACCGCCCAAGGAGCTTCCAAGACGCCTCAAGAAGCTTCCGAGAGGGCTCCCAGAGGAGCGTTTGCTAAACGGCCGTGGGCGTTGACTGAACAGCCCTGCCCTGTACAATTCCTTTTTGGGGCGCGTTTGCGAAACGAACTCGCGTGTCGGAGCGATTCTTATGCGGGCGGATCTCCTGCGCTCTACGAAGGTCACCGAGGGCGAGGAGGACGGGGTCGAGGGAGGGAAAGGGAATTTTCGATTGCGCATCTGATTCAACCGCAGGCTGGTTAGGTTTAACATCAGCTCTTTACGCACCAAACAGAGGAGGGGCTGCTCCCCCTAACATTGCATCGGCTCGGGCGGCAAGGTTGCGGGTAAGCACTGTTGCCGTTCGCAGGGCAAGCATTGTGGCTTTTCACAGAGCAGCAGTACACTAGCACAGCACACAGGTAGAAAACCAGTGCATGTTCAAGGAGAGGCACAACAATAAGACAGCAGGGCATGGCGGTCCTGGGCTGTGTCCTTGTGCTGGGCCCCTGCACGTGCCAAGAAAGGTGCAACTTCGACCAAGCATCCTATATACGAGGGGAGACGATATCTTCGGCCCCACGACGGCACGCAAGCGAAACTGCGGAGGGGAACAAACGCCAATCTTTGCACCAAGAAGCAAGAGAGGAGGCACTGCTGCACATGCCCTCCTGCCGCCGAAGTGCCTTGCCTGACTGCTGCGCGCCAGCCGGACCCGATCACGCGCACGACGCTGACGTCGGCAGCCAGCTTGCAGAAGCGAGCGACGCTCGGCCTCTTCACGGCACGCGCGGCGGACGACGGGGGGGGCACACGGACGGGCGTCCGCACGCCGAAGCCATCTCCTTCCACATCCCCTGCAGCGCCCGGGCGGAGGCACACGGGCGGAGGCACGAGGGCCCGCGGGGGGGGGCGGGGCCGCGGGCACCTCCGCAGAGGCGGGGAGGGCCCCCCCGCGCGTGTGGTGCGCATCGGGTGCACCACCGCCCTCGGCCGGGGTCGCGTGGGCCCCTGGCCTCTCCACGCGCACTTCTCTCCTCCTGGGCGGCTGCCGGCGGGTCTTTGGAACCTGTACACGTCGATCAGGAGGCAAAGGCGCATTGGATATATATATATATATATATATATACACATACATACAAGACTGCATTGGCGCTTCGCGCCATGCACCTTGATGGCTGTTCGCCTCATCCATGTTGGCCTTGAAGTGCGGCAAGCTCATTTAGGATTGCGTTTGGAAATGAATTTTGAAGCGGCCCTTGCAACGTGGCGGCGAGAGAGCGGAGGCCCCGAAATAATAGAAAATCACCGGAAAACCTGAAGTGTCGAGCTGCGAACCGTGATCTGCGCCTTCCTCTCTCGACTCTTGCCCTGCGAACCTCGAGCCTCAAACGTCGACGTGCGATCTTTTCGGGAAGCGCACCGAATCCCAAGTTCACAACGGATTTCCCGAATATTGTTGCGACGCACACATGTGTGCTGTCTCTCGTTACCGGGAATCGAGTCTGAGGCCAGCAGCAGGAGGTGTCAGGGGGAGGAAGTCTGTTTCCGCCCCAGCGCGCTTGCGTTCCGAATTAAGTGGTCGGCCGTCAGGCGCCGCCAGCAGCAGCGGCCTCGTCGACCTCGTGCTCGTCGCCGGCTGCCACGTTCTCCCAGTCACTCCCGGCCTCTGCGTCCTCTTCTGCTGCAGCGCCCCCGAGCCGAGCCAGCAATTGCGACTCTTCGCAAAAGTCGAACTGCGCGCCGTAATCCGTGAGGGTGGCCTGCTCACAGAATGAGTACACCCGACGCAGCACGTCGTGGTTGAACTTAGCAAGAGTCGCGGCTTTGTGCTCCTGGAAAGCCTTCACGCGCGTGGCTCTAGCTTGCCGGATCAGGACGGTCCACAGCTGGATGGCGGCGGCGTTCTGGGCGTGAAGCACGGCAACCTTGCGAACCGGTCGTCCGCGTTTCCCGGTTGCCCACACCGTGGTGCCCAATCGCTGGGACACCACGCGGCGCGGCCCGCTGCCTGCGAGCACGACTGCGGGAGTTTTCTTGTGCCGCCCGTGATCCGGGCACCGCGACGAGGGCTGTCGAATGCGCAACGCATTCTTCACTCTGAAGCTTCTCCACCCAGGAGACGCGGTACCATGCCGCCTTGTGGGGCGGAGGGGGGGGGGCCCAGTTGAACGGCACCAGGGTGGTTGAATGTAATGCCCACGCGGGTCCTTGAGCTCCGCGGCAGTGAGAGTTTCCATGTGCGCGTCCATGGCTGGCACCAGTTCCGCGCTGGGAGGCAGGGCGCGCCAGCTGCTTGGCAGATCTGCGGTGCGCAGCGTTTTCTTGAGCAGGCTGTCGCGAACCATCTGCCGAACGCAGCGAACGAGCCAGAACGAAACCCAAAAAGAGTCCCTCATGGCCACCGCGACTTCACCCTTGAAGGCGCAATGGTGTTTGAGCCAAAATGGCTACGGAAATTGAAGCTGTCTTTTATGTTGGGGGAAAGGTGCACATATGTGCATCATCACACGCACCTCCACGAATAAGTAGAACTCAGAGGGAATGAGTGCGTCCGTCATTGAGTTTTCCGGCCGCTTCGGTAAAAACATCGTCCCAAAGATGCCAATCGAATGCAATCCTTTCGCAGATCTTGCGAGACAGGTCAAACGCCACATTGTATTTATGAGTGTGAACATGACACGTGTAAGAACACATTGCGAAGTCCATCTTTTGGACACCGATCGTCAGATAATGTCGTTTCTGCGTGAACCATCTTCCCAAAATGGAGCCCCGAGGTATCCCCTGGTACTTTTTGGTAACCCAGACCTTCTTGCTCTGTGTCGAGGCTCCGCTTCAAAGCCTCCTGGGGCTTCCGGGGGGTCCCCTGGGGCGTTCTGTGGCCTTTGGGCCGTTTTGGGTTTTCGGGCCCGTGGGGACCTTGGGCCCCGGAAGGAAACTCAAGGAAACTCCTTGGGCCTGCAGGGCCCCGTGGACGCGGCACACACGCGCGCACACACGTACACGCACACACACACACACACACACACACACACACACATCGCAAACGCACACACACATTTTTCCTCAGGGAGCGCACCATATCGCAGATGCGAGTGCCGGAGGCACACACACACATACACACACATGCATCACACAGACACACACAGTACACCACGCACAGAACACACACCATCTACAGGACATCTACGAAACTCACAAACAACTCGCAGAACAGGGCAATGAACGATGTTGCATGAACCTGGGCACGCACGTGCCCTTTGCTCTGTTCGGATTTTGGACGGGGCGCAGGGCTACCCTAAAGGCGTGCAAATGGGTAAACGGAACTGCGGGTGGATCCGGGGAACTGAAGATGGTTCCCAGAGGCTGAAAATGGGTGAAAGAGGACCTCGGGGATCCAGCCGACCCCCAGATGGGAGAACATATAGAAACAATGGAGACGGTGGCTGCATCATGGTCGCTGCTTTTGCCCAGCGCCGCGCGCGTATGTTGGCGCACGCGAGAGGGGCGCGGAGGACGAATACGAGGAGAGAAGGAGTAAGAGGAGGAGCAGAAGAACGATGGGGGGGCGGAGGTCGACGACGAAAGTGGAACGCACTGGTGGGTGGATGGGTGGATGTCTTATGCGTGGATACGCACCGAATGCGTGCGAACCAGCTCCCGCACGAAACGTCATCGGTTGTAACCAGACCCACGGGAAGCAAGGGTCTTTCATGGAACGAATGGTCTTGCAGGCCGAAAACTTGCGGCCGAACGGCGAATGAAGTGCGAACGGAGCACCAGGCCCGAAGGGCGGGAGTTTGGAGAAAAACGTGTATCGAACGGACGGGGGGGCTCGGGCGATCGTGCGCTGGGTGGGCGAAGACTCGGGGGCATCTTGGGGTTCCCTGAAGCGGTCTTCATGCTCCTGAAACCGTTTGGGGGCCCTTTTGTGGCTTGAGGGCCTTTTGGCGGGGGCCACTGGAACCGTCTAGGGCCTCGCGCGGACATGCTCCAAGAGGGGCGGCGCCGCCCGTAGTGGGGGTCTTTCAGATCCTAAATGAAGCTCTCGGGGCCGTCTTGGGTCCCATGGGGCACTTCCAAGCCGTTTGAAGCGAGACTGGGGCTCTTCTGTGGGCCTTCTGCTTTGTCTCGAGGGCATCGTGGGCTTGGCAGGGCGCCCTCATGTGTTCGGGCTGCAATGCTCCAAGGCGGTCGCCGTGGCTGACGAACTTGGGTTGATTGCGCGTCGGAGTGGTAGGCCCCGCTTCGGCGGTTCTGGAACTCCTGTTAGTAATCCCGCGCGGTGGAGGGGTTCGCTGGCCAGCGACCGCTCCGTTGCAGGCAACAGAGCCTTCTGGCAGAGAATGCAGGTTTGGCGACGGGGCCGCCACAGGGGGAAGTCGCGAAACCTGGATTCGGAGCATGTTACAATGGGGGGGCGATAATTGACGCGGCGACGGTGACGGGCAGCTTTTCCTGGCGGGGCGCAGAGCAAACGTCGCCACTGGCGCACGCGCGCACTGGAGGCGCGCAAGCAGCAGCGCGGCGCGAATGCAAAAGTCGGATGCGCACCCGAAGAGCGGATGCCATCGCACGGAACGAACGCGCAATGTGCAACCTAGAAAGCTGACGCGGTCTTGGGAGCGCGGGCGCGTCCGCGCCCGAGGTGGCCACCGTGGCTCGCGCCGGAGGCGCGCGGCGGCCTCTTTAAAAACTCACAGCTGTGCACCAGTGCGCGCCGCCACATGGGCGCTGCATGCCGGGCAGACTGGAATGCGGCACTTGCCCGCTTGTCACGGCCCCTCAATGGCGCGCGGGGCGCTTGCGGGGCACTGGCCCGTCAAA